AGCAGAGGGGGAAAATGGAGCACATTTTAATGGAAACATTCAAGGTAGATTTCGGTTGAGCTGTTTCTCCTTCAGCACAGTGTGCTAACAGTGACCTATTATGCAAATTGGAATAAAATCAGGAAAAACTGCAATTTGATGTGGTTTCTAGAGTTGCACAGATAGTGTTAGTTAAAGCCTCAGCAAAGAGTGACAGCTGCAGTCAGATCCTCGTGTCAGATGCAGAGAATTCTGCATTTGCTGCAGAAAAGCCAACCAGGGTGAGCACAGGGGAGTGTCTGTAAGAGGAGTGTCACAGGGACCATCTGAGGGTTGGGGCTGCTCTTCCTAAGTGCTTCTGAAGTTCTGCCTTGTGAATGATTTCCCAAATTTGCAAAATGAACAGAAATTAATGCACTTAAAAAAATACTAAAAAACATTTTGCCATGGCAATATTCTCCTAACCAATGTAGGAGTTTATTTCTGAATGTTCTTTTTGCTCCTTCACTGTAGGGATTCCTTGGCCATTATGTCAGCCTATCTCGAGCAGGCAATTTCAGAGTGAGTTCAGGCAATACACCTGAACACCTGACTGAAATACCAAATCCTCTGCTGGCTTTATGCAAAATGGCTCTGATCCAATCGTCTCTGTAGTCAAGGAGAGCTGGATCAGATCCTAAAAGATGAAGGGCCAAGAAGGATACAATTTAATTGAGTGAGTAGCATGACTGATTCCTACAGTTACATATCTGAGTAAAACAAGGAGGCTTTGGACAGCAATTAGCTGAAAAATGTGATTTGAAAAATACAATCACACTGTTGACAGTGACTTTGGAGGGTAGATTTTGGCTGCTGAGAAAGATATTTTGTTTTAATGATAAGAAATAATGATTCCTTTGTAGCAGAAACATGTTTTAATGAAGTTCAGACATCTCAAGCAGAATTTAGTTCTGCCATAGACTGTGTGTGGGCACATTAGGGGTAAGTCCAGATTTTATATCCCTTACTCAGTTCATCCTCAGACAGTGATGAAAGAATTACTCAGACTTTGGTCGTGACTTCATGGGGACTGTTTACCAGAGCTCAGAAATGGATCGTGGTTGGCAGTTAACTTTTCCATGGATAAGTATCCACCACTATCCTTTTCTTGCTTGGTTTAAAATACAGTCTTGGCCTCAATTGTGAGTTGCTGGTTCTTTTTTGGCTATGTCAAAATCAATCACAGTTTAAATCAATGTTGTGTGTCTGCAAAGCAGCTGCTGTTCTGCAGGGTTTGTCTTACTAACACCAAAAAAAAAAAAAGCAGATGAAACTTCTACCTGTTGCTAAGTAGAAAGCCATAATTAAGGGGTGGTGCAGATCATATTTTTAAGTGTTGTACTGAGAGTAGAGATGGAGGATGGTCCTGTGTTATAACCCTGGCACTTCTAGTTTGAAGATACAGTTAGGAGCTTTTTCACTCCATTTGATCTGGAGTATCTACCCCAGCTTGCATGGAATTGAGTCCATAAAATACAATTTGAAAGTATTTTTTGTCTTTTTTCTTTTCTTTCGTTTAAATAAATACAATAGGTTCTATTTGGCTTTAAAAATATCCAGACTGCCTTTTGGAAATGGCGAAGTTGGCATGATCTGAAAAGACCTCTATTATTATTAAAATTAAATGAATTTCTGAATGACAGTCTCACATTATAGATGTGTTTTAAATAAGTGTTGGGAAAAGGCTGTAAGGGCAGAGCTGATCTGTTAGGCTGACAAGGCAGACCTGAAACTTCTTCTCATCGTGACAGAAGGTTTTTCAGGGACCAGAAGATCTCTGTACCCTTGCAAAACAATTACTGCACCTGAATTACCACACTGCTCTGCAGCCCCTCTCTCCCAGCTGCCTCTTGCTGCACTTTCTGCATTGCCCAAGAATTCTCATGTCTTGAGTCATATGGAAAATGAAAGAGAACAAAAAAGAAACTATCACCAGTTTTTGCCTACCTTTTTCTGCTGTGAGCCAAGGCTTTTGCAGCACCATTAGGATGTAGATTATCATATTTAAAACCTGTGATGACACCATTGTACCCATCTGAATGATTAATCTGCTCATTAAAAGAGTGCCGATGGGCTAGTCTAATTGGAACATGGATCTTCTTAAAGGACGTTGCAGGGTCGGGAATAGGAAATATTACTCATAACATAAAGTAGGGATTAATTATGCTACTAAATACTACTGTGTGAAATTTACATATGGGTCTGGTCATTGGTGAGGGGTTAGGAAAAGTGTAAGCATCCCATTTTTATAGCCTTAAAAATGTAGGTGGTGCATTCGTGGCAAATCTTAACCCCTTGTTGTTTCAGAGGCAAGATGGGAGGGGCAGGAACACAGCTCCAAGGCCAATTAATCACCACTGCTTGAACTGAAACCCTTCCCAAGGTGCAGGTTGCAGCAGCACCTGATGCAGTTGCAGTTAGATGGTTTCTAACTCTGGCTTTCTGTGAAATGCTGCCCTTCCCTGCTCTCTCCAGGGACAGTGAGCGTGGTGGTCTCCACACGGAGCCCCTCTGGAAATGCGTGGGCCATGTCAGAGCTCTGGCTCCAGTCTCACCTTGGAATGGGACTAATCATGTAATGACAGGAAACAGGCATTGTTGCTCCAGTCTGTGATGGTAAATTTTGCCTCTTTTCGGGTAGTACTTGGCAACGGTTGGGCAGAATTGCTCAGTTGTGTGATGGCTTTTCCCGAGTGTTTCTGTCTTTACATGGCTGCTGCTGCTGGGAGGAGGCTTTAGCTGGACTAGAAAAGGCAACTGTGGAGCTCTGCTATTCCTGAACTATCCTGGGCCAATATATTACTCTGTTCAGGGTCAGCAATCTCTCACATCAGTGGCAGCCTTCATGCTCTTTCTGAATTAGCAGATGTCATGTCTTTATCTGATAGCTGCACTGCCAAGGTGATTTTAATACCAGTCTGGGGAGAGATTTAGGAATCAATGGAGTTGGGATAGGCTGCAAATCAGGAAAAGAAAAAGAGTATCATGGATAGAACCCCTGTTATTTCAAGTCTACCTGAGATATTTTAATGGAGTTTGTCCCCTTTGTAGTAATGATGTGCTGTTTTCTTGAGATTTTACAGGAGAGATGAAAATAATTCTCCAAAGAAGTCTGGGAGAATTTAACCTGGAGAATCTTTTCTACATCCTGCATCTCCTAAATCACTGTGCAGTTCCCTATCCACTATTAATCAACACTGCAGTCGGCCCTTTGAAAATTTTTTACAAGTTGTTATTTCTTAAATCTCACAGGATCATTCTGTGAGAATGGTCATGAATATATAATAACAACTTCATATGCATCTGAAAAATAGGGAGACAAACCAATATGGTTTGTTTAAAAGGCCCTTGAATTGAAGTTAAGGAAATAATTCCTCTGAACTTAGATCTGAGCCATATCGCAACATCCTAAACATTGATAGAATTTTTGTATTTCCCATTAGTGAAAGCAAGAAAGAATTTTTTATTTTTGCCCTTGCCAATTTTAGCCATGATATTCAATGTCCTTCAAGAGTTAAAGATCTAGAAAACCTTTGCTTGTGGGGAAATTTCAATGCAATTCAAAGGGTCCACTCTGTGTGTTGGGTGGAAGATCTGGATGTATGTAGTTAAATATACAAGCACCTCTGTGTAATTCATCACCTCAATATCTGCCACTGGATAAACATCCAATACATATAAGACAATGTTCTCAAGGATGAAACTCAGGATGACTTTCCCAGGTTTACAGCTGGAGGGAATGAAACCCGGCAGGGCAGGGCTCAAATCCCTTGTCCGAGGTTACAGATGAGCCCGTGGCAGAACTGTGGAAAGTGACTCTGACTATCAAGCATCTGTGCATATTTGGTGAGCTGCCTTCCCTCTCTAGAGCCACATGAGCATTTAAGTGTTTTGTTGGATAGGGGCCTAGATGCTTTTAGGGTTTGTTTTGAAAGCTGTTGTTTATTTTAAAGCACTTTCCCCAGCTAATTTACAGGTCTCTTCTTGAGATCTGCTATGGTGAGTCCCACCTTATGGAAAGGGCTTCTTTCTATTATGAGATGCTGAAGGACCTTTGGGATCCACTTTCTGATAAAAGCTCTTGAGGATGGAGCAGAGGAATGGGCCACTTGTCAATCAGCACTGGCAGCCTATCCCCTAAAATGCTTCTTGCCTGTAGCCAGATCCTCCAGGGGCTGGTTCTGCCCGAAGATACAGATCCTGGAGCAGGGATCCAGCCAGCTCACCAGATGGCCAGGAGTCACTGAGCATGTTTGTGGTGCAGAGCCTCCAAAGTCTCTGGCAGCCTGCCAGTGGGTGTATATATATACATATATATATAGCAATTTACTTAGGGGATGTAGACAGGGGAATACCAAGCTGCTTATTGGCCATCAGAGTGGGAACTGTTAAAAAGTATTGGATCCATAATTGCATTTGGCCTCCCCAGTGACCAAAGCTGAAATCCCTGTGGAAGCTGTTTTCAGTTTTTAATTTTTTTTCTTCAATAGAAGAGCCATTAGAAGAAAAATATGATAGTTTTTCTTTAAAAATAGAGTCTGCTGGGATGCTGTAAGTGATCGTTGGCAGAGCAATCCTTGTATGCCAGGATTCTTCTGTAAGTAATGAGATCACTTGGATCAGGATGAGAAAATGGGATAATCCACTTCTATAGAAAGTGAAAGCTCTGATACAAAGCATGAGTGAGCTTGTGAAGCATGTCACTGTATGTTTAGCCTCTGTGCCTATAATAACCTTGTACTTGCTTCCTAATAGTTGTAAAGAATACAGTAATGCTAAAAACAAGTGCTGCTGACACATTTGTCAGTGTTTCAGTGAACCCTGATGCTATATGTCATTGATTTGTGGCTACAGACAAAGAAACTTTTTTTCTTTTTTTTTCCCTTGTCTGCCTGCCTTCCTTTCTGATTTTCTATATTATTATATATTTATTTTAATAATGACTGTGTGAGATAGAGGCTGCATTTATTGATGGGCTATGTTGTTGACAATGTTGTTTACTTATTTGGAATGATTCCGCCCCTCAAGCTGCTACAAGCTTATCAAATCACTTTAACTAACTCCCATGTTACCATCAACTCTGGTCCAAATCTGTCACAACTGGCAACCTTCAGAGTTTGTTTGAAAAGATGGTTAACAGGTTTGAGCATTGTCAGAGTTGCAAGGCATGAGCAAATAAGATCATTGCTCAGAGTGTGTTGTTAGATTGATCACACAGGGCACGGATTAAATTCTTGGGATGTTTTAATTATTCTTCCACGTGCTTTTGGGTTTTCAGGAAAATGGGGTTCACAACTTTCTGAATGGAAAGATGTGTATGTGGATAACAGAAATAACTAAGACATTTTCCAGTATAAATGAAAATCTGCACTTTTTCAGCACTGTGAAGACAAAAGTTTTACTGCAGAAGAGGGATAAAGCTAGGGATAAAGTTAGGCTAGGGTTAAATAAAAGATAGTGTATCCTTGTTGAGGACCCAATTTAAAGCAAAAAGTTTAACCCCCATACTGCACTGAACCCAGACAAAATAGCTTCCATGGCCTTTGTGTGACGTGGAAGGTGAACATAGAGCATCTTCTGTGATATTGCCCTCTTTGGCTTACAAAGTGTATTAAGTTACGTGAATGGGGAAAGTTTTGAAACAGGCCTTAGAGTTTGACATAATATCTCTCAGTTGGAACCAGTGCTTATTACAGTGAATACCTTTTTTTTTCCCTTCTCCTTTTTTTTTATTTCTTTTTTTTTTTTTTTTTTCATGTCCATAAAAGCGATTGGGTGACTGTTAGCAAAGCCGTGATATTGGCAGTCTGTGCCTTGACCTGGGATCTGATACTCTTCCCAGGGGTTCTAGCTTAGGAATGCTTACAGCAGCAATGCTGCTAATCACAAACGAGGAGGCAAAACACCACTGCCTTTTGTCTCGATGTTAATCAAAAAGTAGTCTGGAGGGCTGCGTGGACTGCCTTGTCCCAGAATGGTGGGGAAGTCATCTGTCGTGGCATAAAAAATGTTGGCAACATGAAGGTGATCTGAACTCTGTGTGATGTAGCCATCATCCCGGAGCTGATCTCTGAATTTAAAGGTGTGGCAAAGCAATCGGCGCCACAAATTAGAGTCATCCGATTTGCATAGATTAACGAGGGAAGGTCGTAGCCTGGTGACAGGTCAGGGGTGCCCCCAGGGATTTGAAGAAAAACTTTGATTCTTCCTTTTTTTCCTTTCCATGAAGTAATCGTGCTGTTCTATTGTAAAAGGAGCTCTGTTACTTATAAAGGAAAGCTTGTCATTTAAATTCATCCAAGTTAGGACACCACTGAGCACTGTCAGATGTCAATCACAATACAGCAGGGAAATGTTTTTCAACAGATTTTTACCTTCATTTTTCCATAACACAGAGCGGTGGCATAAAGGGGGTCTCTGAATGTACTTCTTAAGGTTAGATTTTATTTCTTTTCATCTGCAAAGGACTGTTTTTGAAGGTATGTAGTAAAGAATCATGGTCATTTCTGTGACAGGGAGGGAGGAGAGTGAGGTGAATGTTGTTTATAATATCTTTTCCATTTGGGAGATGTTAGTGGAAGGTTTTTTGTGTGTGCTAAAGCCGACATTCTTTCTCACTGGAATTGTTGATTGTATCTTCTCGGCAGAAGTTGCTTTGAAATATTTTGGCCGGAGACTTGGGATCTGTTCTTTTCACCAAACCTCTTTCACCTCTGTGCTGCTGTCCTACATTTTTGTCCAAGCCTTGTGGAGATTGAATGTTCGCCCTACCTGACATCTGCTCAGGAATGAGATTTTGTACTCTGGCCAGTTCTGGCAGAAGCATCAATTTGATGCCCTTGTCATCAGTTTCATGGAGAAGCTGGGGACTGCGTGACTTTTCGCACTGAGCTGCCGTTCCCTGCCAAGCCTAACTGGTGGTGTATGGGTCTGGTGGATTTGGGACCAGAGGATTTAAGGGATGAGAACAGAGTGATTGCTTCTTTTTGCACTCTTCACTTGTGCATATCCTCAATAAGTTTATTTCAATTTGGCTTTTCTGCATATCTGTAATCACACAAAATCACAACAATACTTACCGAGCGAAATTTCTCTGTGGGCTGCCACATGCTCTAAAAATTGTTATCATGCTTTGCCAAGCCTGCTGTTCCTTAAGATCCTGGTTTGTCTGATGGCCACTGTGTAGGTCAGGGCTTTTTCTCTTGGAAGTGACATAAGACCACGCTGGCATCTGCCCCCAGGAATGAGAGAGGAGGACTGTGTCCATACGGCTCCCAGTCATGTTAAGCAAAGAACAGATGCTGGACTTGTGAGCAGCTTGGTGGCTGAAGACCAACTCCAGGGGAGCTCCTGGCAGCTCCTGGGGCTGGCAGTGCCAGTGGGCGTCACTGCTGTCAGTCAATGGCACTTTCTGCAGGGCTTCACCATTCATTGGTGGCACTTTCTGCTCCAAGAGCCCCTAAGAGAAACCCTTTCCTGGTAAGGAGTAAATAAAGATACACATAAATGTAACCCATTGTTTAAAATATTATCACAAGTGTATGTATATTTTAAAAAAAATTGGCATTCTTTTTTTAAACCCAGCTGATTCCTTTCAGATCCTGCCCGAGTCCTTTTTTTTTTTTTTTCTTTTTTTTTGGCCTTGAGTAAACCTATGTGTTTATTTGGATATGGGAGGATTTTAGGCTTGAAAGGCTTGGAATCAACTGTGCATTGATCTAAACATTTACTGAGTAGCAGGCAGTTGGATGCAGAATACCCTGAAAAAATGATGTTTAATCATGTGGAAAATTTTGCCATTTGCATCAGCACAATGATACATAGATAAGTGTGCTTTCAGTTCCTCAAACAAACTCAATGCTGTAACTAAATGCTTTATGAAGTTGAACATCATATTGTACACAACTTCACTGTGAAGCCATTACAAAAAAACCACTGTGAAAATCCCCTGTTATGCAAAAAGGTGCATGCAGTATTTCCTGAGTAAAATGAGATACAGTAAGAAGTATAACTTGATGGTACTTTTTTTTTTCCTCCATTAGCTTTTTGTTTACAGAAATTAGGTGAAGTACCCAAGCATAAATCTGCTTGGAAATGAAGCAGCACTTGGAATCAATATATGTTAGCAGGGATCCTAAGTTTAAACAGGTGAGTGGTCTCCTTAGCTCACGAGGTGTGTCTTAATAATTGTGTGTCCAATATTAAAATTCAAGACATGTTATCCAGACCAGTGCAACCCAAGCTCTTTTGCAACATTTTGTGGTGCTAGGTTTTAATGTGTTTTAATGTATTTTATTTCAGGGGCCAACTTCTAAAAGAAAAGTTTATGAAAAGATGAAGAATCACATTTGCATGCTGTAATGATAGCTTGGGAACACTGGGAAGAGATTTGTTTTTCCAGAGTGTCTTTGTAGGGACAAATTCTGCTCCATGGAGAAAACCTGCTTTGACACTGTCAGAGAAAAGTGCTGTCTCTATTAAAATAATAGTGTTGAATCAGTGTTAGGTAGAGTAGCATTGAGTCATAAAAACTAATTATCACTGTTCAAAACATTCTCAAATACACTTAAGTGGAGGTTTGTTGCATAAACATACAATTAAAGAAGGAATTTGTGATGGATGCAGGGATCTGCGGCGCACAGACTCCCTGTTTACTGGTGCAGCTAACAGATGGGTAGGCCAACTGATTCACAGATGTGCAGCTTATAAATATAAACTAACGTCTTACTACTGATGTATATCTGCAAGTGGCAACAAATTACTTTCCTCTTTAGCTTTTGGCTGTATAGTGGGGTAGATTTTAATAATAAAGTAACTGTCATTAGAGCTGGTGACAAATGATCAACAAAAATACACTGCACTTGCTCAGATTTGGGGTTCACTGCTACAAAGTGCTGGCAGAATTAGTTTTCAACATCTTTTGGGGTTTTGTTTGTTTGATTTGTTTTCTTCAGGAAATGTACAAATCTTGTGTTTTGAAGCACATCTCGGATATTTTAACTCGTTGATTCCGAGCAATCCTAATTAGGACTACGTCATTTTTTGTCTTCAGGTTCCTTTGAAGGGGTGAGGGCAGAGAAACAGGAAGGGAAAGCAGAATCTTTCTCTTAGTTAAAAATCCCCAATTCATCTCCAAACCAAGGCACTGATGAAAATACAGAGTTAAGGAAAGGGGGGAGCTGCATTCCATTGTTATATTTGCTCTTTAAATAATTTAGTTGCAAAAAAATCTGAAGGCTGTTTTAGCAGTAATTAATTATTCATTAATGACATGCTAATTGCATGGTACCTTTGAATATTTAACAAAATGCAAAAACAAGCACTGTAGTTATGTTTTTAATGTAGGAAGAGAATTTTTTACTATATTACCTCTTTTGTGGAAAAAAATAGACCTCTTTTTCGATGGACTAGGGAAAGTCATAGTAGTGGCCTACTTTCTATTCACTATCTTCAGTCACTCTTTGTACAGTGGAATATAATGTCCTTATCTAGACTTAACAATTGACAGGGTGGCAATCCCTTGACTTTTGTCCAAATGATTTCTCAACAAAAATGGGTTAATTATCGCTCTCCGTAGCTTTTTGAATAACAAAAGGCCACGGTTCCTTTTCTTCTTTTCTTTCCTATTTACTGTATGGAAGCCTTTGAAATGCGATAGTTTAATCGGTGACACCTTCTAACCGGGGATTTCTGAGTGCTGGAGCTCTCTGCAATGAGCTCATATTGCTGTGTGTGAACATTACCATGATTAGGAGATATGACCTTTATTATGCCAAAGCCACCCTGGACTTTAAGGATGAAAATAAAACCTCTCCAAACCACTCCATGCACTGAAGTAGGTTTGGATTGTTTCACCTCATAAAAGCCAAGCAGTGTGCTAACAATGCCCTTTTAATACACAGACTCACTGAGCTACACTCTCTTGACCAGCTTGTTAAAAATATTGTTAGCTACACCTTGCAACAGTTCTCTGCTGAGTGTGTTTAAGTGAGCCGGATTAGGACTTTTCAAGTCTTTCTCTCAGTTTGAGAACTGGCATAGAGATTTTTGTGATTATGCAATAGACTTTAATAACCTGGCTGGATATTTCCCTTCGAGTGTTTTGTTTTGTTGTGGGTTCAAGGGTGTAAAATGTAAGGCAAATAATCAACAGAATTTAAAGGCACTGTCCTTGATATTGCTCCACTCTGTAATTCCTCAGCGGGAAGATAAGTGACACAGCCACTACTCTAATTTGCATCCTATAGCCTAGATTTTGTTCTCCTTTCTAATTAGTTGGTAACTCCCATTAACGTTAATAGTACTTACAAATATGCATCAGTGAGAGAATAGATCCCAGTAAATCTGAGCATTATTAGGGCGCTACAAAATTAGCATGTAGTATACTTCAGGCTCATGCTGAATTTTATAGCTTGGCTGGCTATAAAGGAGTAGAAATGCATTCAGTGACAAGATGAGGGAAAAGCAGGAGTACTTAACTAGAAGAAATAGGAATGCTCATGCATCCCATATGTGATTGTCTTCCCAAGTACTCCTTCAATTGAAGTAATGTAATTGTTTCAGAACTGGCTCAGGTCTCTCTCCCTCTTTGTTCTGCTGCTTAGAGAATTCTTCTGGCATTCCTCAGTAGCAAAACTTGTAACTGCAGACAAGGCTGGGCTTAGACTGTGTAAATCTGACTCTGAACTTGCTTTTTGTACTCCTGCTATGGAGAAGAAGAGGAAGCCAGGCAGACTCTTCCTTCTCAGATGTTCTTTTTGCAATTTGTGAGATTGAATCCAATGACAGAGAAGTAATAGAATTACTTGGGTATTCTTTATTCAATGTTCTGGGTGAAGCATTTGCCCTGTGCATGCCTGAAAGCATGTGGGTTAAAAGGTCAAGAGATACATGGCAAAGAGATGGGGAGGAAAGTTTGGTTATGTTTGGGAACTTGGATAGGTACCATGGGTACCATCTGCAGCGTCTGCTCTGCACTTGGGGTGATGTGATTCAGTGAAACATTAACTTGAGATCCAAACCTTGCAAGATGTCCTTGCATGGCTCCTTCTGCCTGGTGTGAAAGACTGGTCTCTTATTTTAGTGTACAGTAGAGACATCAGATTCCAAAATGCTGTTCATAACATAGAAGCAAGATACGGAGTTTTAATTTGAAAACAACTGGAAATTTACCCATCTGTGAAGATCTTCATGTGAAAGTGTCAGAGGACAGGCCGTTCACTTGCCTAAGATTGGCTTGGTGCAAAACATGAGCCATTCGTGGAGTAACAATCAGGCTTCTGGATTTTCCACCTGGAATGGAATGTAGATCCAGTCAAAGGGACAGATGTGTTTTGGGGAGTAGTTTCCTGCTCTTTATTTTTTAATTAGAGATACCTAATTTTGGCTGCAGAAAACAAGCTCCTATGTCATATATCTTCACCCTGTGGTTAGTGGTCAAAATGTTAGCATAATGCATATAAAACATGTTGGAAATTTATGCAGATGAATTGGGGTCATGGTAGAGAGAGCATGGGTATATTATCCCAGACAAAGTATTCCCAGTCTGCGCTATTGTTATTATTTATTATTTGACATCACGAAAGATACAATTTTTATGCTGTTTGGGCACTTCACAATGCAGATAAAGATATGATCCCTGCTTGTGATGCAGGAGAACAAATTAATTTCAGACATGACAAAGTGCAGAGGAAGGGATGTGATGGGGAAAGGAATAAGAGAGGTAGTCTGGAGCCCGTGCAAGGCATGAACAGTGGGGTTTTTAACGTGGAATATTGTACAGAACAGAACTGGGGATAGTGTGGAGGGCAGCAGTGTCCTTTAGGGCCAGTGAAGAATGGTCCATGTTGCTGATATGCTGTGGGTGGGCTAATGGCGTGTACTGGTCAGTGCCACAGCCAAACCTGGGCTTGTGGGGAGCACAGACTCCTCAGTCCCTGCGCTCTGAGCTGGGTCAGGCCTTGTGCTGGTGGAGTGTAACAGAGTTATTCTGGACACAAATTGGGGTGGTGCCTCTCTTTGCTAGGAATGGCACTGAGCCCCTCGTGGGGTAAATGGCCCTCGTGTTGCTGTGTCATCCCTGCTCTGCTGCTCCCACCCGTTTCTGGTACCTGAATGAATTACTCACATGTGTAATTTACAATGATGTGCTGCTATGGAGCTACTCTGGTCATCCAACAGCACATTTCCACCACCAGCTTGAAGGTTTGAAGCCAAGGAGTGTTTTGGTTGCATAGGGGCAAAGGAAAAGAGAACTTGGTCAGCTTTACCTTGTAAGGACACTTGTTGCAAATGTGACTTTTTATACCAAATGGCAATTAAATGTCAGGTTTGGGTTCCTGAATGCAATTAGTGTTTGGATTATACATTCGTATTTGAGAGACTCTTTAGCATTAAATATTCACTAAATTAAGTGAAGGGAAGGAGTAGAAAACAGGGAGAAAAAGGTCCTGCTGAAACATAGTCAGACATGACATTTCCTTATGTCGATAACCATCAAGGGCTTTGCTTCTCCATCCATAAAGACAAGAATGCCACCTGTCAATCAAAGGGAGAGTCACAACAAAAGATCAAGAAAGAATCAAACAAAAATGTCGTCTTCCTTTGGAAAAGCGTTGGCTGCTTTTTTTTTTTTGCTTCTGATAATATTTATAATGTGAGCACAAGGTATGTATAGGTGGTAGTTTATATTGCAGTGCTTCATTTCCTTTTAAAATTGTGTTCACCCAGAAGGAGAAATTATACAAATAAGGCATTTCAAGCCACTAAACACGACCTGTAATTGTAAGAACTATTTTAAAATGCTAGGTTCTTACTTTTGGTGCCCTCTGACAGAGAGAGCACCTTTAGTCTGTACTGAATGTTCAGTTTAAAATAAAATCTACTTTTTGTTAAACCAGAGAGATGGTGTTTGGTTGCAGTGTTACTGATCCTTATTTATAAAAGAGTCTTTTTATTCCTTATAGGTTCTGAAAAAAAATTGGAAATTGTTATTTAATATTAGAAGAGTCTCTTCTGCAAGCTTGCCCTGGTTTTTAAAACCACCTTATTAAAGACTGTTTGCACAGTGAATTTGGAACCTGAGGTGTGGGGATTAGCAACACAGCTGCATTAAGTAGATAATCAATAGAACCTATTAATACATTTTTTCTTTGTCTTATATATAGTAAGGTTAATATAAGTGGCAAGTGTGGAACATGGTTATGATAGAAGTGCATTACAGATCTTTAAGTTTGAAAATTAATAAAGAGTAAAACATGTATCCAGAATGCATAATACCATATGTTTCATATTTGAAAAAACTTTTGCCATCTAGAGTATTTTGAATTTTTTTTGTTGCTGTCTAACAGTCAGATTAAATCCTGTATTCCTGGCCCATGGACTGGCTTTTCCAACATGGAAGCTAAATGCAAGAGAGGGACGAACAGCATCTTGTCTAATAAGCTTCAGCTTTGCACGTCATCCCAGTGCTGATAATGGCAAAATAATGTCCAACGATGTAACTTTTACAGTTCAGTAAAAATCTCCTGGTAGTTTGTGAATGCAAATGGCATCCTGTCTTTTGCAAGCTGAGAACGCATGGCAGGAAGCTGAGAGAAAATAAATCGTGAAAGTGAAGAACAGGAAATCAAGACACGAAGCAATCAAATGGGAGCCAGCCATGCACTTGTGTGGCCTGGGACTGGCTTGTGACATTGTCTGGATGGGCGGGTCTGGGCAGCAAAAAAGACTCACTGGCTATGCCTGGCACTACAGTCTTTTGAAAGCTGTGTGGTTTTCAGCCTATCTCTGATACTGTAGGCTTCAGGGAGTGGGGTCATATGAGTTTCAACAGGAATTGGGGAATTGTTGGTTCCAGAGGTCCTTAGGAAGCTGAACCCAGCTGTAAGTGTTCAGTAGTGCTGACTGAAAACCAAGAATTCCAGTCTGCAAAAAATGCGACGCTTTCCCATTTAATTTTCCAGTCTTTGTAATATCTAAGATCAAGGATTTGAGTCCAGCTTTTAAATATTTTGGATCAGAGTCCTTGATCCTGTAGCTCTCTTAAAGTCCTCTTTTTTGCTTCTACTTTCTGTTGAAGGTGCACAAAAATTTTGTAGAAATATAAGAAGGGACACTGCAGAGAAACTTCCATTTGTCAGTGTAAAATGTGCTGCTGAAAACCTATCACTGATCACTTGAGACTCTGTCCCTGACCTGCATTTTGAGTATCTGGAGCGTGTTGAATGAGTGCTGGCAGTCACCTGACTTCAGCAGGACTGAGGCAACTCCGTGCCCTGCCTGGGTTTCTGGATCCACAGCAAAGATATTTTCTACATGTATGTCAGAATAAAACCTCAACGCTCATTGATTTCCTATGGGCAAGGGGAGGAGTGATGACAGAATGCTTGTATAGATCTTTAGTCTTGAGGACTGAGGGACAAGGAGTGTGGGCTGTGTCTTGCCATAGCTGGGGTGTGGGCAGTGTCCATCCTGAGAGCAGGGCTGCAGGATGTGTCAGCTCTGCAGGGCTGCACCAGCTCCACCACTGCCTCAGAATTCATGTATAGATTCCACCATCCTTGTGAAACTGCTGCTTTATGGCTGCATTTTATTTTTTTTTAATTGTAAAAGAAGCTTAAAAATTCAATTATAATCACCAGAAAATAAATGTATGCCTACAAGTCTGTGGCTTATCTGGTACTTTACTTTATCTATTTTTCCTTTGAATGTCACTGAAAATTTTTGTCACTTTTCTCTTATCTCCCTCTAATTTGCCAATATTTCTTCTCTAATCTTGCTGTCTGGAAAACACAGTGCTGTAGGTGCATCCCCACCAGTGTCATTTGATCATCACAAGCCACCTTTGTACATCTGGCTCCAACTCACTGATCATTTTGCAGCCGTGTCACATGTTTAATTTGCTGTCCACTGGCCGTACAGTGATCTTATGGCATCTCAGAAGTTCTCTGGAAGTCGTCACATTGACAGTCATTCTGTGTAGGGATGTCTGGGTGCACACATGCATCAACTGCCTTTCAGAAGTGTCATTATACCTCACATCTGGGATGTATTTACCGGCTGCTATCAAGTGCTGCCACAGAAAGCCTCTAGTTACTCGTATCCTGATCTGATTCTCTTTGTGGTTATTTACTTTTCCACATTCACCTCAGTATTGTCATTTGGAAATGTTGCTAATACTAATCAGGTACTTTTCAGGCATGGATTTGGGATGAAATGAGTGCTGAGAATTTGTATTGAGCCTCTTCCCATGGTTATCGTCATCTCTTGCGTTACAGCACATGGTGTAAGGTTGCATTTGAGGCTGCTACTGGTCAAATATAAGCTAAGGAAAGAATAGAATCGGAATTGGTCATCTTTGATTCTTGCTACAGAGGTGGAAACGCTGATGTGAGCTCAGTGATATGCTGGAAGTCAGCTACAGATGACTAAACTTCAGCCTTTGAAAATGTGGTTTGGACACCCCAGTGACACTGCTTCTAGTGGTGCTTTCCTTCCTGTAGTGACTAAACAGAGCGTCATTTTTCTCAGAGAATCTCAGTGTGCCTGTAATCACATGGGAAAAAAACCCTGTAGGGCATTTTCTTGGTCCACATCTCGTGTTTGCATTCAGGCTGAAATCCTGCCTCCTCAATGACCCACGGTTACTCTGTGTGTGGGCGAGGAGCTAACCATGGTGAAGGCAGCTCAGCTGCAGAGTGATGCTTTCCTCCTTTCTCAGTAGAGCAGAGGCAGGGCTGGAGAGACCTCGGCCCTTCAGAGGCAATGAAAACTCTCTCAAGTGTTTGTGGATGTCAACTATACCTTTGCTTCCACCAGATTTTCTGCCATGTGATAGAAGGCTCCCTTCTCTGGACTGCCTCTGGAGAGGCTGAACATCCAATTTTAATACAATAAACAAGTTTACATCACATGTAGATGTTTCAAAAATGTTTTAGAGACTTGGAGATGTCCTTGAAACGTATCTGTGAAGAATGTTGTCCTCATTGCTTCTATCACAAGCATCCTGCAGTGGAGCAGCTCAGCACCTGTTATGAGGAAGGCCATGATTTGGACTGAGCAGGCACCAAAGGGTTTGCCTGAAATATTTACTTTATCTTCTCCTCTGTTCAAGAGTTTGGGTTTCTCCCCCTTGCAAAGGTTCTTTACCTTGAAGGCTGGGCTCATCATTAATATTTATGGCAGGGAGGCCATATGAATTTGTGGAGGTGGAGGAAAGTTGCTGAGAGCTATAAAGATGCTGATGGTCATTTAAGAGATTCTTCCTCAAAGTCCTGGTTTGCCAGAATAACTTATTTTACAAAGTTTCTTTGGGCCTCAGCTTCTTACCAGTAAAAAAGGAAGAGTAGCTCTTCCTTACTCCTTTAAACTATTAAAATAGGGTTTGTGTGAGCATTTTTCATATTGATAGAGCAGGTAGGTACATGATTTAGCTTTCCAGAAAAATATGTCACAGCTCAGATATAAAGGTACTTGTTTCCCTGAGGATACCTTCAGTCTTTATCTGTAGAGGACAGATAAAGATGGGATGTCCTCTCTCACTTGGAAGACTGACACTGGGATGAGCCCCTTCAGATGACAGAAGGACAATACAGCTCCACACTTTGGTCATTGATAGGAAACAATATTTTGTGAAGCTAGTAGAAACTTTCTGGAGATGCAAACTGTCAGCTTCTACACACAGCTCCTCTCCTAGCCCTTTGTACTAGTTGGAATGAAGTTTTATGTCAATTTTTATATTTCTAGAGAAGTTGGGCTTTTGGATGAGAAGGTGCTGTGATTTCAGACAAAATATAGATCCTCAAGTGGCTAATCTGCAGAAGGAAACGAATGCCTGCTTTAAAAAGCTACAATTTAGGCAACCCAACCTATTGACCTTCTAACTTTGGACTGCTAAGACTGCTTGCTCAGTACATCTGTTTTTCTATGGTTTTGCCTGTAATTATGTTGTCCTCTGCAGTTACGATAGTGGTTTATCCTGCTTCAGAAATGTTATGTTTTGAGGTTAACTTTCCCAGGGGGTATGTTTCTTTCTTTTTTCCCTTTCTTCTTCTTGTCAAAGCAAACAAAACACAAAATCCCACTCGGGATACAGGAGTCAGGAAGAAACCTATTAGAAAGAGTTAAAGTACCTTGTACTGTGGGGACGCGTCTGTCAATGGGAAGTACTGTATAATGGGGTTACTTGAAAATGGCA